TTTGAAGATTTATTGATTTGAGGATTTGAGGATTTTAAGGATTTTGTACTTTGACGAATTGAAGATTTGATATTTTATAGGTTTTGAAGATTTTGAGAATTTGAGACATTTGAGGTTCTGTTGAATTTCGTGCTTTGAAGATTTTGACGATTTGATGATTTTGAGGATTTGATGTCTTGAGGATTTTGATGATTTAAGTATTTGGTATTTTGAGAATTCTGAGAATTTCAGGATTTTGACGATTTTTTTAAATTGGTGATTTCAAACTTTTGAAGATTTTATGTTTTGACGATTTTATGGATTTGGTGATTTGAGGATTTGAGGGTTTTGAAGATTAGAGGTACTTGAGAACTATTTTGAATCTGGTAATCTGAGGGTTTTGACGATTTGATGAATTTGATGTCCTGAATATTTTGAGGATATGAGAATTTTTAGGATTTTTTTAATCTGGTGCCTTAGGGACTTTGAGGATTCGATGATTTAGTGATTGAGGATTTTAAGTATTTAGTGTCTTAAGGATTTCGAGAATTTAAAATTTTTGATTCTTTGAGGATTTGGTGTTTTGAGAATTTTGAAGATTTTAGGATTTGATGTTTTGAGGATTCTGAGGATTCTGAGGATTTGAGGATTTTTTGAATTTGAGGATTTATTGATTTGAAGATTTGAGGATTTTAAAGATTTTGTGCTTTGAGGAATTGAAGATTTGATATTTTGAAAGTTTTGACGATTTTGAGAAATGGAGAGACACTTGAGGTTTTGTTGAATTTCGTGCTTTGAAGACTTTGACGATTTGATCATTTTGAGGATTTGATGTCTTGAGGATTTTCATGATTTAAATATTTGGTATTTTGAATATTCTGAGAATTTGGGGATTTTGACGATTTTTTAAAATTGGTGATTTCAAACTTTTGAAGATTTGAGGTTTTGACGATTTTATGGATTTTGTGATTTGAGGATTTGAGGATTTTGAAGATTAGAGGTACTGGAGAACTTTTTTGAATTTGGTAATTTGAGGGTTTTGACGATTTGAGGATTTGAGGATTTTGAAGATTAGAGGTACTTGAGGACTTTTTTGAATTTGGTAACCTGAGGGTTTTGACGATTTGATGAATTTGATGTCCTGAATATTTTGAGGATGTGAGAATTTGGAGGATTTTTTGAATCTGGTGATTTAGGGACTTTGAGGATTCGAAGATTTAGTGATTTGAGGATTTTGAGTATTTAATGTCTTGAGGATTTTGAGAATTTGAAATTTTTGATTATTTGAGAATTTGGTGTTTTGAGAATTTTGAAGATTTTTGAATTTGAGGATTTATTGATTTGAGGACTTTAAGGATTTTGTGCTTTGAGGAATTGAAGATTTGATATTTTGAAGGTTTTGAAGATTTTGAGAATTTGAGACACTTGACGTTTTATTAAATTTCATGCTTTGAAGATTTTGAGGATTTGATGTCTTAAGGATTTGGATGATTTAAATATTTGGTATTTTGAGGATTCTGAGAATTTGGGGATTTTGACGATTTTTTAAAATTGGTGATTTCAAACTTTTGAAGATTTGATATTTTGACGATTTTAAGAATAAGAATAAGAATAAGAATAAGTTTATTGCACAACTAGAGCAGCGTACAAAAAGTTAGAATACAGGCTAACCCTGATACTAAAACGATTTTATGGATTTGGTGATTTGAGAATTTGAGGATTTTGAAGATTAGAGGCAGTTGAGAACTTTTTTGAATTTGATAATAATTTGAGGGTTTTGACGATTTGAGAATTTTGAAGATTAGAGGTACTTGAGGGCTTTTCTGAATTTGGTAATCTGAGGGTTTTGACGATTTAATGAATTTGATGTCTTGAATATTTTGAGGATGTGAGAATTTTGAGAATTTTTTAATCTGGTGACTTAGGGACCTTGAGGATTCGCAGATTTAGTGATTTGAGGATTTTGAGTATTTAGTGTCTTGAGGATTTTGAGAATTTGAAATTTTTGATTCTTTGAGGATTTCGTGTTTTGAGAATTTTAAAGATTTTAGTATTTGATATTTTGAGAATTCTGAGGATTCTGAGGATATGAGAATTTTTTGAATTTGAGGATTTTGATAATTTTGTGCTTTGAGGAATTGAAAATTTGATATTTTGAAGGTTTTGAGGATTTGAGAAATTAAGACATTTGAGGTTTTGTTGAATTTCGTGCTTTGAAGATTTTGACGATTTGATGGTTTTAAGGATTTGATGTCTTGAGGATTTTGATGATTTAAGTATTTGATATTTTGAGGATTCTGAGAATTTGGGGATTTTGACGATTTTTTAAAATTGGTGATTTCAAACTTTTCAAGATTTGATGTTTTGACGATTTTATGGATTTGGTGATTTGAGGATTTGAGGATTTTGAATATTAGAGGTACTTGAGAACTTTTTGGAATTTGGTAATTTGCGGGTTTTGACGATTTGATGAATTTGATGTCCTGAACATTTTGAGGATGTGAGAATTTTGAGGAATTTTGAATCAGGTGATTTAGGAACTTTGTGGATTTGAAGAATTAGTGATTTGAGGATTTTGAGGATTTGTTGAATTTCGTGATTTAAGAATTTCGAGGATTTAATGTCTTGAAGATTTGGAGAATTGAGAATTTTGAATATTTGAGTATTTTTAGCACTTGAGTATTTTGATGATTTGAGAATTTGATTATGTGAGGATTTTGAGGATTTGAGCATTTGAATATTTCGAAGAGGTTTTTTGAATTTCGTGATTTGAGTATGGTGATTTGAGTATTTTGAGGATTTTTAGGATTTTTAGGATTTGAGGATTTTGACGATTTAAGTATTTGGTATTTTGAGGATTCTCAGAATTTGAGGCATTTGAATCGTTTGAAGATTTGGTGTTTTGAGAATTTTGGGGATTTGGTAATTTGAGGATTTTGAAGATTAGAGGTTCTTCAGAACCTTTTTGAATTTGGTTAATTGAGGATTTTGACGAGCTGATGAATTTCAGGGTTTGATGTCTCGAATATTTCGAGGATTTGATAATTCTGGGGGTTTTTTGAGTTTGGTGCTTTGAGAAATTTAGGAATCTTGAGAGTTTGTTGAATTTCGTGATTTTGAAAATTTGATGTCTTGAGGATTTGGAGAATTTGAGAATTTAGAGTAGTTGAGGACTTTTAGGACTAGAGGATTTTGATAACTGGAGAATTTGACATGAGGATTTTGAGTATTTGAGCATTTGAATATTTCGAAGAGTTTTTTTGAATTTGGTGGTTTGAGGATTTTGAGGATCTGAGGATTTGAGGACTGGAAGATTTTGAGGATTTAGTGTCTTGAGGATTTTAAGAATTTGAGGATTTTGAGGAAGGTTTTAATGGTTTCAGTATTTGGTACTTTAACGATTTTGGTGTTTTAAGCATTTTGAAGATTAGAGGTTTTTCTTGAGTATTTTGAGGACTTGAGAATTTTGAGGAATTTTTGAATTTGTTGATTTGAGGATTTTGGGGATTTGAGGAATTTTAAAAATGGAGGATTTTAATAATTTTATGTCCTGAGGATTTTTAGGATTTGAGGATTTTGATGATTTAAGTATTTGGTATTTTGAGGATTCTGATAATTTGAGGCATGTGAGGATTTTTTTAGTTTGGTGATTTGAAGCCATTGAAGTTTTGGTGATTTGAGAATTTTGGGGATTTGGTGATTTGAGGATTTTGACAAGCTGATGAATTTGAGGGTTTGATGTCTTGAGGATTCTGAGAATCCTGAGTATGTATTTAATATTCTTTCTAATAAAAGTAACCATTTGCCAGATAGACCCAATTGCAGTATTTCCTTAGCTTACGCTTAAGAAGTAAAAAGAAATAAAATGTGAAAGAATTAAAAAAAAAATCAAGAAGTAATAAATTTTGAAAATTGCAACGGAAAGAAAAATTTATTTAAAACTTCATGTTGTTGACGCAACAAAAATCATTAAAAGAAATGAAACAACAATATTTAAAAAAGAGTAATAAAAGTTTAATGGCGACGTAAAACGCTAGTGCTTATATAAATTCGTCTTTTTTCTCTCTAAATTCGCGATTTAGATTATTGTATGCTCAAAAATGAATATTTACATACACGAGAGTTAAAATCCAATATTCACACCTTAAAATTGTTTTAATACAAGTAGCTGGTAAAACCCCAAAAAATCACACAAACCGAACTTAAAAATCCTGTTTATTAAAAAGAACGTCGTCTGTTTAAACATAATAAATGCATGAACGTAGCGGTGCATTTATCAACAAATTATAAATTAAAATTTTTATATAATAACCTCACATTAGTCACCAATTAAGTTTTTTCTTAGAATTTCTGGAAAGTCGACAAGAGCTTTTTGATGTACTCGACACAATAAATCTGTCCACACATTAATTTCTCGGTGAGTATTTATTTACAATGACATCAACTTCTCTTTTAATAAATATATTAATACTGATGTATGCAGCTGAACACTCACCGGACCATTATTGCGCACCCACAAGGAAATTACATTAGTGGTTTCTGAGCTAATCAATAAAATAAATCCATTCGTGTGCAAGTTTTTTGAAAGATTATGACTTATATACTTAGCTGACAATTTTTTGAAGTGGCTTGAAATTTGGCAATAATAAAAATAATTACCTACAATTTTATTCTGTTAGAAAGCTTCAAATTAATTAATTAATTTCATTCCACTTTAATTTTTTAATACTAATAATGTAGTTAGTTTGTTGGTAATAAAATTCATAATCGGCGTCACAATTTGCAAGAACCTGTGATGCATTAAATTGGAACCCAATTAAAATCGGTTACGTAAACTAGTGCCCAATTTACATAAAACCGCAGACAAACAACAAACAAATCTCGGACAGGCAAACGGAAACGTGAAACCGGAGCAATTCCGGTTGGACTTTCCGTTGCAGGAAAATCCTCCTTTTTCGTCCTGTTTTGCATAAGCTCGGCCCACAAATCCTGCAGCGCCCTTAATTTCTCTCTCGTTCCAGGCTTATCTCGAAGATGACAGCCCAGGCGGATCAGATTAACAGTAAACGCCTCAACTTGGAAAAGGCAACAAACTTCATGAGGCAATATCGCGACCCCCATTCCCGCGAACTGAAAAAACTTTCGGCGAATCAGTTCATGGAGGTGTGGAGCCACTACGACAAAGACGGTAAGCTCGAGTTTCCTTAAAGGTACTGGAGAGTTTTTCCGTGCGACGAAGATGCTGACCCGAGATTTAACGCGCAAGATAAACACTGCACAGATTACCTCTGAAATACGGGGCGAAGTTTCCCGATTTAATCATACGAAAAAGCCGTGCCTCGGGGTAACTCTTTGCCGTTTTACATATATCACGGGGATGTTCTGGCCGCGAAAAACAGGCCAAAACAAAGGCGGAAAGGCGCGGGGTTTTATTAGAACGGTTTGCAATTTTACAGACGATATTACGTTTCTTGTGCAATGGAGCGAGGTGAAAGTAGCTCGTCGCAGGAATGCGCTCGACCAGTATTGAACCTTTCACCCTAATTGATGAGGTTTTATATTAGACGAAATTGAACGAGCGAACAAAGAGAGGTAGAGCCGGCCCTGGGTTTGGGAGTCGGTTTGGCAGCTCGACGACGCGACTAAAGCGAAAGTTAATTAATTATGAGATCATTTTATTAATTTGTTACAATAATGTTTTCGGATTTTTTGTTCAACAAAATTTTACCACATTAAGGTTATTGTGGCAAAGAAATAAAAATCTCAGCTTTCTTGCATTTGGATGAGTAGTTTTCAAATAAGAGCGACTTAACAGAGCGTGAGGACTGGACGTGACGTCACACCAACATCCTCCCGATTCGGGATGTGAGATTCTTAAAACTATACATATTTTGAAAGAGGCCAAACGATAAATAAATTAATAATAATTTGCTTAATTCTTTTACATTTTGTAAACAATCTTGAATTCTTTTATTTAAATTTTTCACGGAATAATGTTTGCGTTGTTTTTATTCACAGAAATGAGAAGGTCGTATTACCCTAATTTGGTCACAACAAGATGGTGCTCCGCCTCACTATGCTAATGATGTTTTGCATTATTCGGATGACGGTTTCATTTCTTTAAAACATTTGGTTTATTACAAAAGTGTGAATAATCTTAACATCATAAATAGTCAGGTCAGGTCAGGTCAGGTCATGTCAGGTCAGGTGAGGTCAGGTCAGCTCAGGATTTAAGGATTTTTGAGGAATTTGGGGATTGGAGGATTTGAGGATTTAAGGATTTGGAGGATTTTTTTGAATTTGGTGTCTTGAGCATTTTGGGGATTTGAGGATATGGTGGTTATAGGATTTGAGGATTTTGAAGATTAGGGGTTCTTCTTGAGAATTTTGGGGATTTGATGTTTTGATGATTTTCAGGAATTTTATGTTCTGAGAGTTTGAGGATTTGGTGATTTGAGGTTTTGTGGATTTTGAGCATTTAGTGTCTTGATAATTTTGAGAATTAGGATTTTGAGTATTTGAGGATTTTGATGATTTAAGTATTTGATATTTTGGGGATTCTGAGAATTTGAGGACCTTGAGGATTTTTTCAATTTGATGATTTCAAGTTTTTAAATATTTAGTGTTTTGAGAATTTTTGGAGATTTGGTGAATTGATGATTTAAGGATTCTGAGAATTAAAGGTTCTTAAAAACTTTTTTGAATTTGGTGATTTGAAAATTTTAACGATTTGATAAATTTGGGGGTTTGATGTCTTGAGCACTTTGAGGAGTTGAGAATTTTGTGGATTTTTTGAATTTGGTGATTTGAAGACTTTGAAAATGTGAAGATTTAGTGATTTGAGGATTTTGAAAATTTTCTGGATTTGAGAATCTTGAGGGTTTGTTAAATTTCTTTATTTGAGGATTTTGACGATTTGATCATTTTGATAATGTGAAGATTTTGTAAATTTGAGCATTTGAATATAATATTTCCAAGCGTTGTTTTGAATTTGGTGATTTGAGAATTTGAAGATTTGAAGATTTTGAGGATTTAGTGCCTTGAAGATTTTGATAATTTGAGAATTTTTAGGTTGTGGGGATTTTGATGATTTAAGTATTTGGTATTTTGATGGTTCTGAGAAATTGAGGCTTTTGAGGATTTTTTTAATTTGGTGATTTAAACCTTTTGAAGATTTGGTGTTTCGGCGATTTTGGGGATTTGGTGATTTGAAGATTTGAGGATGTTGAAGATTAAAGGTTCTTGAGAACTTTTTTGAATTTGGTGATTTGAGGAGTTGATGTCTTGAGTATTTTGAGGATTTGAAAATTTTGGTATTTTTTTGTTGCTTTGAGGAATTGAAGATTTGGTGTTTTGAAGATTTTGAGGATTTGAAAATCTTGAAAGTTTGTTGAATTTCGTGATTTGAGGATTTTGACGATTTGACGATTTTGAGGATTTGATGTCTTGACGATTTGGGAAATTTGAGAATTTTGAGAATTTCAGGATTTTTAGGAGTTGAGAATTTTGAGGATTTGAGGATATTGAGGATTTTAGCGTTTGAATATTTCGAAGAGTTTTTTTAAATTTGGTGGTTTGAAGATTTTGAGAATTTGAGGATTTTTTTAATTTGGAGATTTGAAACTTTTGAATATTTGATGTTTTGAGGATTTTGTGGATCTGGTGAGGATTTGAGGATTTTGAAGATTTCACTATTTTAAGGGTTTTTTGAATTTGGTGTTTGGCCATTTTGGGGATTTCAGGATATAGTGATTTGAGAATTTTGGGGATTTGATGAATTTGAGAGCATTTTGAGGATTTAAGAATTTCGGGAATTTTTTTGACTTTGGTGAGTTGGAGATTTTGAGGATCTGAGAATCTTGAGAGTTATTGATTTTCGTAATTTGAGGATTTTGACGATTTGATGATTTTGAGGATTTGATGCCTTGAGAACTTGGGAAATTTGAGAATTTTAAGAATTTCAGGATTTTTACGAGTTGAGGATTTGGAGGATTTGAGGATATTGAGGATTTTTGCGTTTCAATATTGCGAAGAGTTTTTATGAATCTGGTGGTTTGAGGATTTTGAGAATTTGAGGATTTTTTTAATTTAGGGATTTGAAACTTTTGAAGATTTGATATTTTGAGGATTTTGTGTATCTGGTGAAGTTCTTCTTGAGTATTTTGAGGATTTGACAATTTTAAGGGTTTTTCGAATTTGGTGTCTTGAGCATTTTGGAGATTTTAGGATATGGTGAATTTTGGGGATTTGAGGTTTTAATGATTTTCAGGAATTTGATGTCCTGAGGATTTGAGGATTTGGTGATTTGAGGTTTTGTGAATTTTGAGCATTTAGTGTCTTGATCATTTTGAGACTTAGAATTTTGAGGATTTTCTGATTTTCAGGATTTGGTGTCTTAGGATTTTTAGGATTTGAGGATTTTGATTATTTAAGTATTTGGTGATTTGAGAATTTTGACGATTTGATGAATTTGAGATTTTGATGTCTTTAGCATTTTGAGGATTTGAGAATCTTGAGGGTTTGTTGAATTTCTTTACTTGAGGATTTTGACGATTCGATGGTTTTAAGGATCTGATGTCTTGAGGATTAGGAGAATTTGAGAATTTTGAGTATTTGAGAATTTTTAGGATTTGAGGAGTTTGATGACGTAAGAATTTGATGTTTTTGTTTGTGAGGATTTTGAAGATTTGAGCATTTGAATAATTCTAGGCTTTTTTTTTAATTTGGTGATTTGAGGATTTGAATATTTTGAGGATTTTGAAAATTTGAGGATTTTTAGGTTTTGCGGATTTTGATGATTTAACAATTCCGAGAATTTGAGACTTATGATACGAGGATTTTTTTTAATTTGGTGATTTGAAGCTTTTAAAGATTTGGTGTTTTAAGAATTTTGGGTATTTTTTAAATTTGGTGATTTGAAGATTTTGAGGATTTGAGGTTTTAGTGATGTGAGGATTTGAGAATTTTAAGGATTTAGCGCTTTCAGGAATTGAAAATTTGGTGTTTGGAAGATTTTGAGGGCTTGGGACTCTTGAGGGTTTGTTGAATTTCTTGATTTGGGGATTTTGACGAGCTAATGATTTTGAGGATTTGTTCTCTTGAGGATTTGGAGAATTTGAAAATTTTGAGTATTTGAAGATTTTTAAGACTTGAGGATTTTGATGATTTGAGAATTTGATAATATGAGGATTTTGAGGATTTGAGCATTTGAATATTTCGAAAATTTTTTTTGAATTTAGTAGGTTGAAAATTTTGAGGATTTGAGGATTTGAAGATTTTGAGGATTTAGTGCCTTCAGGATTTTGAAAATTTGAGGATTTTTGAATTTGGTAATATGAGAATTTTGAGGATTTGAGGATTTAAGAAATTTAAGGATTTGATGTTTTGCAGATTTTGATGATTTTGAGGATTTAATGTCTTGAGGAAATGGGGAATTTGAGGATTTTGAGTATTTGAGGAATTTTAGAATTTGAGGATTTTGATGATTTGAGAATTTGTCAATGTGAAGATTTTGAGGATTTGAGGATTTGAAGATTTTGAGGAGTTTTTTGAATTTGATGATTTAATGATCAGATAATTTGAGGATTGAGTGTCTTGAGGATTTTAAGAACTTGTTGCCTTGAAAATTTTGGGGATTAGATGATTTGAAGCTTTTGCGAATTTGCAAATTTTGAGAATTTGATGAATTTGAGGATTTTTCAATTTCGAGAGTTTGAGAATTTGCTGTTTTGAGGAATAGAAGATTTTTAGTATGTGACAATTTGGAGTATTTTTTTGGATTTGGTGATTTAAGGATCTTGACGATTTGAGAATTTTGAGTATTTGAACATTTGTACGACTTTAGGATTTTGGTGATTTGAGACTTTGATAATGTGAGGATTTTGAGGATTTGAGAATTTGAATATTTCGAAGAGTTTTTTTGGATTTGATGATCTTGCAGATTTAGTGTTTTGCGGATTTTAAGAATTTGAAAATTTTTGAGGATTTGCGGATTTAGAGAATTTGAAGATTTGGTATTTTGAGGAACTGAAGAGTTGGTGTTTTGAAGATTGATTAAATTTGGTGATTTGAGAATTTTTCCGATTTGATGATTTTGAGAATTTGATGTCTTGTGGATTTTGAAAATTTGAGGATTTTTGAATTGGGTAATATGAGGATTTTGAGGATTTGAGGATTTAGTGGTTTGAG